AAACCACCGTTAATCAAATCGACTGTGCACACACATACACACACACCAACACGGATACGGCCGAACGTCTACAAGAAATTTCATCTGTTGTACATTGAAATTAGACCGAGGTGTATTAATAAAATTGATTATTTATTATGTTGCTCCGGTGTATACTTGATCGTTTAACGAGCCCGGTGTGCAGATCGACGTTGACCTTGGGCAAAGCGGTTTCGGAGAGTGGCAAGGTCGACCTTTTATACAGCCCCGTAGCCAAAGCTCTAGGCGTGAAAAACTAGTTTTAAAGGTGCCCCGACTACAAACGCTAAAAAATTTCTTCGACACATTACTCATGGCTCACAAATACATACAGGTGTACTAATCCCACGCAACTCCCGGCGGATGCAAATTTCTGTAGCCCGTTTTGACAACATTTAATACATTTTTGTTAATATTAGTGGGGGAACTAACTGCGAATTTTTTTTCTGTCGTCGATAGGTACATATGAATTTGGACAAATATGAGTTTAACAATGATTTTTTTTTTGTGCCTAAAGACGTTATTTAATTCTATCTTTGATAGAGATACTTAATTCGATCAGATACCACAGGCCGTTCCTAAAATTTCGCTATCCTCCAGCTCTAAAATCAAATAAAAAACACTCCAAAATTAACTACCCTCTGTTAGGAATCTGAAAGTGGAGAAAGTTTTTTTATTTATTTCATATTACTAGGCGCAGTTATGAAAGTCGAGGTTTAAGAGTTGATTGATAATTTTATCAAAATATTTGTACTTTGACAATGATGAAAAGCTCAAGTTTTTCGTGTGTTTTGTGTATAAACAAAAATATAACTAACGACATCACTGAAAACATAATTTGAAACACAATATTATAGTTATACACATTTTAATATATTAGATATACAAGGAAATATGATACATATCATATAACATGATATGTATCATACACTTTGTGGTTTTTAGTAACAAACAAAAATATTGTTTTCGTTAGTAAGTAGACCTTGTTTGTTTTGGCTTAATACAACAATTTCTTTTACAACTTTTCGTTTTTAACTTTTTTGCACTAATCACTGACTATCCCCAAATTATTTTATTACTTACAAATGTAATAGATAGGTACTTCACACAAACTTAAACCGGTTTAATTATTAGTTTAACTAATCTATAATCTTAATAAGTATTACGGCCTTTTAACCGTATTCTGTAAATCCCAGGCGTTCACAAAATATAGACCAACTTGTTGTGTGTGTTTGCGTTGTCAAGATCCTCTGTTCGAACCTTTTCTGTACATAAATATAATACTATTTTTCAGCTCTTCGTGAGTGGGAATTAAAAAATTATCTCTCTTACTGGCTTATTATTATTTTTATTTTTTTTTTTTGTTTAAAGGCCGTAGTCACTTACAGAAATAACTATTATTTAACGCGTGCCATTAGCACGTCGAACGTTCTTAAGATTATTAAGAGTTTATGATAGTGATTAGCTGACGGACAGACTTTCTATTAGGAATGGCGTTCAAAAATCTCAATAATCACGCGTCGACGACTGAATAGCTATTATTATCATTATTATTTTAAATGAACATTGTAAACGTTTTTAAAACGGTTGACGACGATTTCTTGCCGTGCCCGGAGGCCTTGTCACGGATGTATACCGCTTCGTACGGTTTCCCGGCTGGGTAAATGCATAATACATGTCGTAATCAAAAAGCCATATAATATGACAGCACATCCAGTGTTATTCCCGTAGGAAACAAAACCATTAGGGATTATAACAGCTTAACGGCGTCGGATTGGACACGAAATTGCCGATGGTCGCAAATCCTACCGATATATATTATACACTTTGCACATCGGCAACCTCGAGCGAATAAAACGCCTGCCATTGGTCCAGCGGTCGATGGGCGTGGCGGTGTTGATAAGCGAAAACGTTGCCAAAACGTCACCCGCCTAACTATGGGTAGTATAATTTATATTGAAATCGAATTAATGGTTCCTGTCTCCCTGTTTTGCTCGGTTACAAAACAAATATTTTTTTGGAAATTGTTTTTTCCGTCGACGAGTCCAAAAAGTGATAATTAATTTTTGTTGTTTTAGATGCTCGCTTGTATTCAAAATATCACTGTATCGTAATTACACTTTCCCTATTCGTATGTGCCACGGACATAATATAATACCCGCGTTTGCATTTTACTATTATTACTAATTAAAAAATGCACATACTATTATTGTATTTGTGTGTAAATAATAATATTATAATTAATACACTCGAGTTAGTACATTGTACTGTCCTAGTCCTGAAACAATAATTTCTCACAAAAAATGATTTCCTTGTTTTATTATTTTTCAATGTCACAAATACAATGCATTTACATGTTATTTTCAATTCTTTCATTTTGAATAATTCAAAATTAAACATAAAGTTATTAACTAATTAAATACAATTTTCTAACCGAAGCTAATATTTAAATTGACATTGACACGAATACAATTGTTTCAGCGCACATATTGTTGTTGTTGTTTTTTATAATTTCATGGTAAAATGGACTTGTAAAAAATAAAGTTCTATTGTTTGTTCGAATTTAAATTCTACGTTTTAAAAACTGTATAGAATCATCAAGCAAAAATTGCTATCGAAGGTCCTTTTGTATAATATACCTGTGCAAATCTAATCCTACTATTCTTATTTTTATTTATTGAACTTTTTTGCCGAGTCTCTTAAATGTTAATACAAATTATTATACGCCAATCCGCGTTAAGTTCAATTTTTATATTATTTTTCTATCGAATCTCGTTTTAAGTAAACTTATTCGGAATATTTTGTTATCAATAAAAAAGCTGTACAAATACACGTGTCGTTCACTGTATTGATTATATTTATAAAACAATAGTACCTGTATGCAACGTTAAAAATATTACGACAGGTTGTTTAAAACTAGTAGATGCGGTTATGGGTCAAAAATAAGGAATAAAGTGACATTAAAAAAAAAAATTAATAAAAAAACACTACAATTACTATAAATAATAACTACGTAGGTATAATATGCGTCGAAGGTCGGTGTGACAAACAAACAAAAACTGGTCTAGCTCAGTGTGTACCTCTGCTATAGTACTATAGTGCCCGGAGCTACATGTACATGACCGTATAAAACGAAAATTAAAATGACTATACAATATATAATACAACAATAATGTTAATAATACAAACCTATTCCGCGCAAACAGTTTTCGTACGGCGTAAGCGAATACTGTGTAGTATGAACTATATTACAGTCATGGTGATACACGTATTGGATGTGTTTTGTGTAACAATACAATATCTAAACGCATACATGTGTACCATTGCAAAAAAAAAAGTATTACAGCTCCAGAAACCTACATAAAGTCACCACAGAAAACACGTAAAACATACACATTGTACTGATACGTCTTATGTGTCAAATGTATATGTAAGTATACATATATATATATATATATATCTTATATGGATTACGGTTTAAAAAGTCCCGCCTATGATGATAATACACACTCTTGTATGGTCAAGGTTTATCGCCATCATTGCAGGCGGCCACCGGAAACTGGAATAAACATTTTTTTATTGAACCGTACCAAAAAAAAACTCCCGCCAATACTCGACTTGAATGTTTAACCGCTAACCCGTCGTGGGTAACTTTCCTACTTATCATAATATAAAAAAACGCGTTCATCGAGTTTACACGCGAACAAAATAACCAGCGGTCATCTGACGTTCAAAATATATACAAAAAAAAAAAAGAAAAGGTCGTTCGATTCCACACATTTTTTTTATGTATCAGAACGGCTGACGCGATAATAAACTTGAGCACTAAAAAATTGTTTCTTGCACTCTGGATTATTTTTGACCATTTACTTTTTACACGATTACGGTATTATTGTATAATTTATTTTACTTTGCCACGTGCCTAGTTACTTTTTATTTTGATCGTAGGCCCTCGATTGTATCCTAAGCCCTGGGCGGAGTCCTATGGTGCCTCTGAACATCAATCCTCCGGGATTGTAGAAAACGTTGACACGATAACTAACAACACCGTCGGGTCAATATCGAATACACTGTTACGATGAACACATTTTTTTTTTATGTTAACTAGTAAGAATTATTGTTTTTTTTTTTTTTTGTGCGTTTAACCTTCTCGAAAACAAACAAAACGATATGCACACGAGTGGATTTTGTTTATGTAACAACACCGACGACCGTAACGTGTATTAAATGTTATGCAAACGACGCGCAGAATAATACAATGTGATCAACGGATAAGCATTATAATAATATGGCGATGGTGATGAAGACGGGGGTTGTATATTTAAATACGGACGACAACGACCTACTTGCTTTCTGGTCAACCCGTTATAATAAACACATACGTTAATCCATAACGATGATTGCGCATAACACGGTCGTGTATGAAATTTATCCATTAAAATAATGTCATTATCATAACAATCCGTGCACAGATGTATGTGTATATTAATTGTATGCAAATCTTCGGCCGACGAGCACGCGGTCAACGGATGTCTTTTGCATTTTTTTTTTATTGATTCATCGTGGCACAATTTTGTATTTGGCCCGCCTGAAATAATTGCTTGCGATGTGTCTTTTGTTGCATGGCCGAGAAAGGAACACGAGTTCTCCTTGGTCGAATATAAATATGTAATACCATACAATGTATTTCACAGAGAGAACCCTACGTCATGCATCAAATTTCGCGGTTTCTATGTCTCTAAATTAAGAAAAAATCATAATAATAAATGTACAAATAATATACAAGATTTGTCATACATAAAGTATACCTATTCGTTATCAAAAAAAAAAAAAAATGTATTTAATAAAATACTAAAAATATCTACTAAACTTTTGCAGATGGCCTTCTGATAGTCAATTGTACACGCCGTCATACTCTAATGCCACGATTACATTTTACAAAATATATACTAAGTCTACGTTTTTTTTTTTTTTTGTTACAGGTCTCAGTTAAAAAGGACTCGTTCGAAAAACTCGGAAAAATCAAGGTGAGTTTCATCTATAATAAAAATTAACCGTTATACTATCTCTCTCTATCTCTGTACCCGTTTTTATTATTAACACAACCCTTGCGGTCATAACGTTGATTGAACCGCATGCAATGTACCGATTTTCTCACAAGATTCTACTCCCGCATACAAACCAACAATACACAACCTACTCACGCACCGCTTACTCTAGTAGTGGTTGTAATAATAATAATAATAATAATAACATCGTAAGTACACACACGACGAAAAACCGACAATTTCGATTAAACCCCTTGGGCAGAGAATGGGACTGCGTTAGGTAAATAACGTACCGCAAATAAAGGTATAAACCAATTGATGGCAAGTGCAGTTCATTATAACAACGGCCAACCTCTTTTCCATCTTTACAATCAACCACGGGTAACATAAAGATATCGATCCGGGAAAAGGCGTTTTATGAGAAAACCTCGGCCTTTTTCCAACAAAAATTTAATACATTTTGAGCACAATAACATACAGTGCACACACACACACACGCATATATATATTTTGTATACATTTTAAATTATATCCGTAAAACTTTTTGCGTTTGACGTGTTTACGACAGCCGTACAAATGTGCACTTCACTACTTGAATAACAACGTTTTGAACGCGAACCTGACCGACATGTCTCAAAACCCGTAGACCTTAATATTATTTACTACAGAGTTTACACGAGAATAAGATTTACTCGTGCTCGTAGTTGTAAACTCGAATCCGTCCGATAGACACTATTGAGATTCGGCGCTTTCTTTTGGTCGATGTGTGTACATATTATAAGCGCAGGCGGATTATGCATTGTGACCGAACGAGGCGGAGTTGCCCCTCGCACGCACTCGGATTTCGAATAATAGGAATTGTTTTGTGCATTGTGTACAGGCATAATATTATTATAAGCGATCCGATTCTGTGTAGTCCCGTTTCCGGACATTGAGATTATATTTCCTAGGCGGAGAAAACGAAAAAGCGGTAGATTCAAGTCATACTACTATATTGTACAAGAAGTCGTATTATATGTCCTGGGGTATTTTTTTTTTTTTTAAACGGTCGCACCATAAACCGATAGCTCCGTCGAATGCTGCTGCGGCGGCCGGTCACGCCTGGCAGACCCCGAAGAATCGTTTCGGAAGTGGATGACTATTTTGCCGGCCGAGTGTGACACGCCTTTTAAACGGTTAGCGTGCAGGCCAGCGCCCCGTGTGCGTGTGTTTGTACGATAGGGATTTTTTTTTTTTAATACATTCATAACGGTAGTGGCATATAATAAAACAGATAAGGAGAACGTGACCGGTACGAGTAATAAGACGAATCTAAAAAAAAAAAAAAGTATAATATTTATTAAAGCAATTGTGTTGTTGTTGTTACGACGGCGGCGGTCGTGTGTTTTGATCACTCTTGTCCTCCACGAGAGAGACCACCGCCGAGTTACACCTTCAGACGGTGTAATAGATGTACCAGCGATTGCCGGAGTACATGCTAGCCTAAAGTTTTTCACCGTGTACAAGGTGAGATCCACCAAGTATGACCCAGTCAATATCTTATAAGATACTGGACTATTTTAAAATTAATCTCAACTTAAAAATAATGGAAACATCTTGTAAGTTCTTCTTCTTCTCTACTAAAGGCCTTGCCTTGTCGTTGCAAATCTGGTTCTCCTCATTGTTATGATTAACCTTCATTGCTTGTTTGGGAAAATTAATGCAGTGGTTTCCCGTTGCCTTCTGCATCTTGTAAGTTACTATTTAAAAAAATTTAAAGTTCATAGGGTTTTAATACATGGTGGGGTTATATTGTTAAAAATATATATCTATAAACTGTGAAAGTGTGAAAAAGAATAATTAAACCAAGGCTTAAATCTTTTAAGATATTGACTGGTTCGTAGTAATTTTATAATTTATTATCCATTAACGACTGCTTCGTCTAGCGCTTAATCGGCATACACAACAATTATACTCGTTCGATATTATTCGTTAACCGTATTTCCCGCGGACATTAGCATTAGCACATTTCCATTTTGGCCGTTTCCTTTGGACCGCCGGCGCATACACAGTGTAATATACTACAAAGTCATAATACCAGCTAGAAAGTGTACAAATATACTAGCCCGTGGCATCCACGACCATAGGAACACGAACGTGGTGCCCACTTCAAACACCATAAAATTAATATAACGCGTTCGCGGTATATACAATAACAATAGGTGTGTGTGTGTGTGTGTATGATTCCAGGTGGCCGATCGAAATTAAGCTGGGAATTTATTTCTAATGATATCCATATGAGGCGGTAAAGGTTGCGCCAAACGAAAATCCACTTTAATTTATACTTACTCGGGATTCGCCATCAATCACGCGACTGCAACACGTCCCTCTCAAACGCGCACCTACGCCTACCTACCTGACTTGTGTGCGTGCAATAAACCATGCTCTCGCGTGTTGTGTTCGCGATGTGCCCGTCTATTTGTGTGTGGACGGTGGATGAACAATAATAATGATAATCATCATCATCACACGAGAAATACACCCATGTCCATGACTATGTACACAAACGCGGAAGCCCCGAAGCCGTGTGCTCTATCGATTGAATATACCGTCGCGTCGGTCCTAGTGTACTTCTACTGTTATTATTATACTCCTAGATAACCCGTCTCTTTTGAAAGTCGTCACTCGAGGGCCCACAACAGACGACCATATACGATAAATCGTATACTCGGTCCCGGCGGCTTGTCGTGGCTTAAAACTAAACGATTCGATGGTCGTCATGGCGTTGTGAGGCGAACGTTGTTTTAATTGAAAAACGTCCGTTTTGACGACGTGCGCGGACCTGTTTAGGCGACAGAGCGGCGGTGTGCGGAATTCATCGACAGAGCCTAATTACACGTGCTTACCTTGAAGGCGGCATAACCTTGGCGTAATGGTAAATACTTAAGAAAACCGCGTTCCCGCACAACAATCCGATATAACAGCTATTAATGATCGAAAATTCTACACAAAACTATGTGCGAGTACGTGGGTTATTGCACTGACGCGGTAATAATGCAAGTCGAAAGTAAAACCTTATCGCGTTAGGCTTGTGAAAATGCATTCTGCGATTTGACTTCAGAAAAAGCTTTCTTCTCGGTCGGTTTCACTTTAATTCCGAGCCATAAACGAACGCGTTATGACGGACATGTGAACTGGCACACGCACGTGGTGGACGGACAACCGCTTCGGACTCGTCACTCTGCGCTGATGTGATCCCGAAATACCGTGTGCCCGACAGCCAATTTAATATACGTCCGGTGTAAACCGAAAGATATTGCGGCGTAGGCTGTAGGGGACGTCTAGGTCCTAGACAATATGATTGCCCGACGGTTCATATGTAACCCTCTTCAAAATCGTTAATTATATAAGCCGGATACCTTATCCGTTTTAACTGTGTGTTATTTATGGTTAATTATTAACAATAATTCGAAGGCGCCGTCCAAAGTTATATTCTAGTCTTGTTCTAGCCTTGAGACCGATGATTGCATTCATACGGACGATCGGAATTCGAGTGCAGGATATCCGACGGGAGTGCGTAGTACAACAACGAAAGTAAACCGACCAATATCGATAAAATGTAGGATTAAATAGTAATAAAACGTCAAACAGCTATCTTGGGCGCACGGAGAAATGTCCCGCCGGAATCGTGACGACAACCGATGTTACGTCGGCGGCGACCTTCTGGAGTTCACGGTTGTCAGCCGCGGTATGCGCCACGTTCTTCGTCGGCTGCCAGACGTTAACAATAATATTGTAGTACTACTAATAATAAAATATATTAATTGTGGGACACGGGTGAATCACGGAAAGTAAAATAATATGTCGTGTTCCAACCAAAACGCGCGTCCAGTTTGTGAAAGTGTTGGAGAAAAAATAAACATTTTTTTTTTGGTAACCGGTGAATCGGATTAGAAAAGGTCTTTCGATAATAACACCGGTATTTACCAAATGAGTAATCGTGACCGCTGCACAGCCGCCCATACGAAGTGATCAGGTGTAAACGGGGGAAAATACCTTGTTGATTTTCGATATTAAAAAACGTAATTTTAATTAACCTTAATGTTTGTCGAGTTTTTGGTGTTCCGGACTAGTCGCTCTCCTCTCTCTCTCTCTACGTTTCCGGAAGAGATATGAAAAAAAAATGATTTTTTTAAAAAAATATTTTAAAAATCATTTTTTTTTCTCTCCACAAACTACGGTCCAAAGTGCAACTATATCTATTTTTGCTTCATTTATTTGACAGTACATTAGGTCCGAACACAAGTCTACAAACCGTCAACTATGCAAATTAGACATATCGTCTGAAAACACACCATTAAAAAGAAAATAGATATAAAATTACAAGTACCGACAATTCCATGATATAAGTAAATAAAAATGTTCACCGGCAAATTCGTAAATCGTCCATGAAAAAAAAAGCTAAATGTTGTTTAGACTGAAATAATGTCACCAATCACACGTTACTATTACAATTTTGATCTTACATTTTGACATTTCATTTTATTGGAATATTACTAACTAGTATACTAATATTCTACCGCCATTCTAGTCTGCAATGTCGATCCCTGAGAATCTAAATCTTGGTAATTTCCCTTGACGGACGTTGAAATTTGTTCGTTGCTAAACGTTTGCGCGTCCCACTGGCTAGTTCTACTTGTTAGTTACCGCCGATGACACTTTTACTATTCTACAATAGAAGAGCTACAATGTTGTGCAATTGTGATAAAAGTGAACGTGTTCTTGTTATTCAGTGTAATCGGTGACATGGAAATGTGTTGGCTGCGTAATTCGATATCGTTTCGAAATTCGGTTACTTGCCAAATTAGAAGGGCGAAAGATGGTATAAAAACGGCAACAGCTTTCACGGGCCATCAAACGTCACTTCTTCTGTTGTCGCTAGTCCGTTGAGAAAAATTTCTGTTCAGCCGACCGACATTTCTTGACCGAAAAACGTATAA